TAATAAGGTTTGAGGACAATGAGTTGAAGGAAAAGAGGCATAATCAAGAGTATGGGCCACTACACATGAGAATAGGCCATTCTTTTAAGAAACTTGATAATGAAAACAAGAAGTGTGGTAATGATTTGAGAAGAAAAAAAAGGACAAGAAAAGATATTTTTGAATGAAGAATTAACTGTAATTTTCGAATCTATTAAGAAGACAATGAAAGAAAAGAAAGAGGACTATAGAGAAAAAGGAGATAAGCACTGGTGCACAGTTTAAAGAGGTGGGTCCCAAAAGTACAGAGATGCATCTCGGAAAGGACAGAGACCTCTAAGATGAAAAGGAGAGAAGTTAGAGTAGTGAAAATACCCAAAATTTGAGGAAGAATCTGGAATACAAAGACTTAATTGGGAGAGAGTTTGTTCCTAGTCCCTTCTACTTCCATTAAGTTCAAACATTGGTGAGTGAAAGTGCTAGGAAAGGCAATCACACACAAATGGGCCTCTACCATGTCCTTATCACGTGATAGCAAACCCACACAGCCTGCACGGGGTCATCTCCTTTCCCTGTTCTAGACTTGGCAGTACTCTTTGTGCATGTGTAAATGGTCTCAGGCTCGCACCCAGCCTTCCGTATTTCAGACCCTCACATGCAGTGCCCGGCTTCTTCCACTGCCGCACAAAGTGTCATACATGGCCAGCTGTCTGTGATGTGGATTTACAAGCAACTGGCTTTCATGCACACTCACTTTTCTCCTGCTGTAAGTTAATGCGGCACCACTAGAGCTTGGTGCACTTCTCTTTCCTATGTGGCACTTACTAGTCTTTTAACCTTGAGCACACAGCCTGGCCACCAGTAAATTGGCAGGTAGAAAGAACTGATTTTTAGAGCCCTATAAGTGTCTCTTTCATCTCTTCTTGAAATTATACTCTCTAAATGAACTTTTTCTTACTTGAAAGGTGAATCGTCAAGTTATCTATGTACCCAAAAAAGCTGCATTGATGCAGAAGACACTGCCTCCCTTTTCCCCGCAGAAATCAACTTGAGTTTGTCTATGTGTGATGGTCCACCCTTCCTAGAACAGCTTGATTGTAATGTGAGGACTCCTCAGTTGACCAATGTCTTCCCTCCCTTCTAGCTGCAGACAGTCTGTACCGCCAGAGCTCACCCTTTGAGGCCACAGTCTTCTGACTCTCCTCTTCTGCAGTCCCAAGAGCTTCCATTCTACAGTGAAATTTCTCTCAATTTCCCTTGTCCTTTATGTCGTACTCTCCTGAGCAACATCGGGAAAGCATGACACTCTGTTGAAGGAAAGTAATTTGCGAGCATTTGATGCTGATGGGACAGAGTTGGTACAGAATCTGGACACAGAGTCACTTTGCCAATTTATCCCCCTTCCCAAAAGCAAAGCAGTGTCCTGTGCCTGACAGTCTATGAACAAGATCCTGAGGAGGAGCCCATTGCCACAGCCAATGGTAAGGAACAGTGGATCTGGCTGGATTGGTGTAGTCCACCCAAGAGCAATGTGGAATGACCGTATCAAAGTAGGACATGGCAGATCAGCAGAACCTTGGAAAGAAGACTTCCTGACTTAGCTAAGAGTTAACTATTTTTATTTCCTATTGTAAAAAGAGAACTAGAAATGGTTGTGTGGGATGGCTGCAGTATTTGACCAATATTGAACCTCAGTGATTCTCAGTGTGAGACCACTGAGAAGATGCACTCCATTGTTCTCCCATCAGTGCTTGAATCAAGGACTTGGCAGTTCCTAGCTGAGAATTTATGCCTTCTGCACTGTGTGGAGTTGCTCACAGGCAGGCAAAATGGCTTGTACCAAGTGAATGTTCCTGAGGATCAGTAGCAAATCCCACAGTGATCAAGCTGCCAAAGTCATCAGCTGGCATTATTTGCAGATAGATTATGTGAATGTCTTTAAAGCATAAATATTCTTGAAAGAGAATCCACAAGCCTCATTGACTGACTTGTATGCACAACTTTCTCAGCTCTTCTCAGTCTTTTTTTAAGGAATTGTTAATTGGGTCAGAATTTTAGATAATTTAAGTCACCTAAATCTTAGGTCTAGTTTTTCATAAATTCATTGTCTACCAAATCAAATGCAAACTTATCTGAAACTTTGTCCTCTAGACTTGGGCCAGACCAGACTATTCACTATTCTCAACCTGGGCACAACTTCTCACCTTTGTGCTCTTACTCCTGAGGATGACACATCTCTCAGAATGCCTGCTCTACCAGATCTACCACTCGAATCCTGTGACTCATGATGAACCAAGGATCTCTTGTGCTGAACTCTTGTCCCTTCTTTGCACACCCTCCCCTCCGTCACCATTCTGTTGATTCTCTCTCTCTCTCTCTCTCTCTCTCTCTCTCTCTGTAGTGCAATAGACGGAGCACAATTTCCAGTAGAATGCCCAAAATTTGCAGGAAGCCAAAGAGCCCTCAATGTGTGTTCCTGCCTGTAACATGGAAAAATGCCAAGAAAGTTCGTGTAAAGATGACATAGAAACTTAGCCCACACCCAGATGGCTTGGTGACAGACAACTCAGTTACCCAATGTTAAATAAAGCCTAAAGCCTATGCTTTCCCTGCTTCACTTACCAGTATTGTGACATGGCTCTCTGACTTGGGCTTAAAGGGAAATTCCTTCTAAAACTGGAATCGTAACTCAGATACCATGGGGAGCTAAACAACTGTAGGAGTGCACAAAGCAGAGCAAACAGAGCTGAGTGCTATCAACAGCTTTCAAGACAGCCAGCAATGAAAAATGACTTTTGGTCCCAAACGACTTATTATGAAACAGTGGTGTTGACTTAGAAATGCCTCTCAGTCTTTGCAGGAGCTTTTTAATTTAAACTTTATTTTTGAATTAGCATGAACTCATACATGTGTGCAGTGTACCTTAAACAAGTTCACCTCCTCCATTACATTTCTATCCTCCCCCTTTTTTCCTCTCCCTTTTTCCAAACAGTATTGACGGTTTTCATTATGCTGTCTTCATATGTACATATGTGGTCTACATCTCTTCTCTTCACCCCTCAGGGTCTTTTTCTTTCCCCTCCCCCTTTTACTGTTCTCCAAGACAGTCCACTATATACATTCATGTCTAATTAATATTATTATCATCATCATCATTGTAAGTCTAGGTTCCATGAATGAGCAAGAACATGGGATATTTGGCCTTTTGAGCTTGGTTTATCTTGCTCAGCATTATGACCTCCAGTTCCACCCATTTTCCCACAAAATTACAGTTTTCTTTATGGCTGAGTAATATTCCATGATATATATGTGTGTGTGTGTATCATATATATGTGTGTGTGTGTGTATGTATATATATATATATATATATATATATATATATATATATGTTATAACATTTTCTTTATCCATTCATCAGCTCTTGTGGTTCCTGGGCATCTTGGCTGCTTCCACAGCTTGCTATTATGAAGAGATGTACAATAAATTTGTGTTTTGACCAAGGATTCACCTATGGAAGTCTTCTCTCATGTGGGAAAGTACGTCGTCTGCAGTGATGGGATGGTCTGGTGAATATGGCCCTGCTCTCTGGACTGGGCGCTGGTCATAACCTTCTGTAACCCCCAGAGCCACCCTTGACTCTTTCACACTATGTACGGTGATAAAGTCAAGCCCAGCCCACCCACACTCACTTCCTTCCTCCATTTCAAATCATCTCCAGTTGTTTGTCTTCAATCCTCAACTTAAGTCAAAAGTGAAATTTTTAAAAAGATAAGTCTGCACTTCTGCAGACTTATGCTTGAACCTTCACCATGACACTCTTCAGTACCCACCCTACTTTGCTATTCCACTGTCTACCCATCTGCCTACACCTACTTGGAGCTTCTTGAGAAAAGGAACCAAGATTTATTCTTCGTATCTCACCGCACCAGGCTCACCAACCATACTGAGCACATGTGTTTGTCCCCATCTGTAGGAAGGCTCAGAGTTTGCTTCTTGAGCCTCCAGAGGCACCGGTATCCTGAATGCACACTCCTAGAACTGACACACCCAGAACCTTGGCAGATCCGTTATAACTGCATCGACACAGTTCAACAGCCTGGCAAAATCATGGTCATTTTAGTTCCCGTGTCAACAAATATAACCCACTTATTGACTTACATAACATTTAAGTTTAATAGTTAAGAAAACAAAAAAAATTTAGTTTGCCCTTTAAACACTGAATTTACACCCAGTGGAAGTTACCTGATCCCCGAGTTCATCAAAAGCTTATAAGCCAAGAGAAATCTTAAGGTCTGTAGTACTATCTTCAGAAGCCCCTCTGGTATAAGAAGTGGAGTGTCCTCCCCAAGAAGATGCCAGTTCATCAAGTATATCATCACAGCATTCTCTTTCTCTAATGAAGTAAAATAAAGCTTCTTCACTCATAAATTTGGATAGTTTTCAGACAATGGTGATGTGTAAGACATGTTTCACTCAAACTCTAGCACCCCACCATAGCCCATGACCCTTGAGGCAGGGGCTCTTCAACATAGCCAATTTTCCTTTTTTCTTCTCTATCTCAAAACCAGTCCTGCCCTCAATTCTGAACATATCCAGACTGGACTGATTTGGTTCCCAGGAGACTCCCAAACTGTCCCAGCATTTTAGGAAGAGACAGAAAGTCTCAAAGTACCACAGTGAAGACAAGGCAGTTGCCTGCTGCAAGCTCTGGGACTACCCTCAAAAGAAGACAGGTCTTGCCCACACCAACCCCCTCAATACTCCAGTCAGATGTGAGCCAGACACAGACAAGCCTCTGGAACTTGGAGAAAACCAAGACCCACACATCTGTCAAGCTTGGCTGCAGCCATCAGAAATGGGTGTGTACTTTGCAGTGAGAGAAACTACAATAACACATCAGGAAATATGTTATATTGTCATCACTGTGATATCACAAGAATTTCAGCCATGGCTTACCTCTTTATAAAGGTGAATGGGCACACCCTTCAGTCCAGTCTTAGCTGCTTGCAGAGCTGTGAGCTATGAGGATCCATTATCTGCTAATTGCATTGCTCCTCTTGTTCTTGATGCCTATTTCAGGTAAGGTGGGTTGGGAAATATGGGGTTGAGTTAGGAATATGCAACTCAGCCAGTCCTTTTCCATTCCTCAGGAAGCTTTAGACAAAGTAGATTTGTCGAATGAGAACTAAACATTACCATTTTTTTTCTGACAATAACAATCAAGAACCTTAAGACAGGCTTCTGAGTCTTTCCTGTTCCACTCTTAAAAGACAAAATAGCATCACTAAAGTTATCTCCTTACCTGCTTCTTCATGGGAAGTCTATTAATGAGACATGAAAATAAGTGACATAAATTTTTAATTCTAATAGGAAAGATTGATTTGGTCTGAGTGCAGAAGCACGGTCTTCCATTTTATGAAGTTCAGTGGTTAGAAGACTAGCCAGGAACTTGTTGGATACTCTTTGGGACCACAGTGTGTTCGGTCCCCATGTGTTCCTATAGCAAGACTCAGAGGTCAGGCAACTTCCACAAGACAGTTTCCCCAATGTCTCTGTGGGCTGTTAGCCATGAGCTGCTGGCTCATTGTTGGTTGCTTAACCCGTCTTACCTATATTCTTGATTTTATAGAAAAGGAGAAAAAAATTTAAAACTAAAATAAATGTAAACAGATGAATTATTTGAGGGATTCTAAGTGTTATACTTGTACCAAAGCCTTTCTAAAACATTCCTATATATTCTCTTCTATCCATATAGGTCATGGAGGGTTCATAAGTGCTTTACAAAAAGTACATTGCAAGATAAGGAAAGGCCGGTGTGCTTTGAGAAGCTGCCTTGCAAAGGAGGAACAGATAGGCAACTGTTCAAGGAATCGAAAATGTTGTAGGAAAAAATAAAAGAACCAGAAACATTGTGAATATGTTGTAAAGTGGGGAGAGTCCCCCTGATGTTTGTAAAGTAAAATCAAATTAAATATTTTTTAAAAATTTAGAAACTTAATCTTTTTGAACATTCTACTTATTGTGGTACTTACTACCAAACAGACAACTAAGAAATTCTGAGGACTCACCTTTACTAAAATAAAGCAGAATCTCTCCAGGAGTCTTCAAGGTACCTGAACTCATTTTCCAAGGGTTCGTAGATCTATGAAACATTTTTTATTTTGTATATTTTTTACCCCTGTGAAGTTGAAGTCCTTTCTCTGGAAATATGCTTCCTTTGTTTTCTTGTTACCTGGGTCTTTGAGGTTTCCAGTCTTTCTATCCAGAGCTGTATCTCTCCAAAATCTTAAAGCATCCCAAATCTTTCTGTAAACTTTATTGCTAAGAGAAATGGGAAGCTTGCTCCTCCTTCAGTATTTCCTTTGCTTTCCTAATGCTCTGTTGACCTCATACTTGGCATATATTCACTCTTTCCCTTTCATCTCCCAATTTTAATTTGATCCCCAGGGCAGTCTCAAAGTCCACCTTTCTCAAAAACACAGCTGGTTTCCCAAGTAGAACAGTCTTTTCTCTGACATGCCATAGGGTTCTGACTTAAGACCCCACCTCCATATCTTGCTTGCTTTTTGGATTGTGTATATTTGCATACTGCTATTCTTCACATTTGGCTGCAGGATGCTTATGAGGAAGGACTTTGTCTTTGTCTTTTCTGTTTAACAAGCACTTGCTGAATTGAAGGGCTTGTGAGTGATTTGGATGCTCTTCAGTTTTATTTGGTGTTCTCTCAATGTTGATAGGGAATGAGTCTTGAAAGTGGAATGGGTGGTCTCTCCTCCCTGGCACAAAGCCCCAATGAAAGAGCAATAGAGGAAAGACAACCAGGTTGTCAGGAAGACCAGAGGACCTGAAATAGTGCATGCAGCTCACTTTCTATCAAAACAGGGTTCACTGAATTGTCCTCAGTGTACACAATAGAGAACCAGACAAAAGATATAAAATGGCTGATTTTCAGACACTGGACAACAAACAGTACAGTACAAGACTATGATTATAGAGAGAAAGGAAAAAGATGTAAAATGGCTGATTTTCAGACACTGGAGAACAAACAGTATAGTACAGAACTATGATTATAAAGAGAAAGGAAACAAGTGCAGAAATCTCACTAGATCCACAGCCCAGAGGGTTAGGTTCCAGGCCAAGACACAGGGAGGAGAACTCAACCCAGACTAACCATGATGAAGCCTAGAAGAAATTGAGATCAAACTTTAAGCAGGGCAGAATTCCCCAGGGGAAACAGAGCTGCAGGGGTGAGGTGACTTCATCCCTGGACTGAACACGGACTCATGTACACTGAGGGTAAAACTTCCCAGGCCGGAGGAAAACAAAAACACAAAAAGACAATGGATGAATATTCCAGGAGCACACACAGGACTGAAAAAATATACATTCCCACCAGCAAAGAGGAGTGACCTCAGAGTCTTCATATAAAAATGATATTAGCAGTGGTGCTATTTAACTCTAGCCAAAACTGTCTGCAGCTGTCAGGACTCAAGTGGTAGAGTGCCTGCCTAGCAAGCATGACTCTCTGAGTTCAAACCCCAGTACTGCCAAAACAAAGGGGGGAGGAGGCAAATGGCCAAATCTATCACTTGACAATGTACTGGATCCTGTCGACACTTATCAGATATTCAAAGAAACAGGAAAATATGGCCCACAACCAGGAGAAAAGTCACTTAGTCAAACAGGCCCCGTGATGACAATGATGATAGAATTAACAAAAAAGGGCATAAATATTATAAATATGTTAAAGGCTAAAAAGAAAAACTGTTCATGATGAGGTATTAAATGCTTTTGTAAAAGAAAGGAGAAAAACTCAAAGATGACACTTATAAGAAAGTGGGGGAAGAAATTAAACTTGAAGTAAATAGAAGTGAAGAAAAAATTTATTAAAAATAGAGAAATTTCTTTAAAATAAAAAAAGCTGGCTCTTTGAGGGGATTAATAAAACATTTGAAATCTCACTGGGTTGTTAAGAGGAAAAAACAATTAAGACACCTCACATATGCACATGCTTCATGCAAGCAGGAAAAAGAAAACAGCTCTGCATCTCCTGGTGAGGAGGACAAGGAATGGTCACCAGGTGGTGCCTAATTCCCTGCCTCCCGCAAGATCAGGCATGGTTTCCCTCTGTCTCAGAACATCGAAGAGGACATGGCAGTAGAAGCAGAGGAGGCTGGCCTTTGACACAGCGTTCTTCTAGCTTTGACTTCTTCCTTTGTAGGAGGAAAAGAGGTGACGTTATGAGAACAGCACGGGGATAGTATGGGGGAGGTTTCTGTAATACTGAGTCATACCTACCTGGCAGATTTGTGAATGAGAATCAAATGACACAATGTATCCACAAACTGGCCATACAAAGCCCAGCTCAATGCAAAATGAAAACAGGGAGACCACTGCAAACAGCAGGAAATAAAAGTGATGTTGAAGGCAATAGGATATAAAGCTTTCTTCTCAAAAATAGTTTATAAAATGTAATAATATTGTATATAATCAGAACTTATTAATGAGATAACTTGATAAAACAATTTTTTAGTCAGCTTTTTTTCATTTATTTGGCCATCAAAATTTACACTTTGAGTGACAACCATTTTTTTATTTTGAGAAGAATCAGCTGGTGCAACTGTGCAAACAGAGCAGACTGTTTTACAAACTGTCTTTACAATCTTGAAACATAAAATGTTCACATGTCTAGAGATGGTGACTTTCATGAAAAACTATAAAAAGATTGAATTCTTCAATAATTTTAAGTATATGTTTATACACTGAGATTTTGATGTTACTGCTGATCTGTCCTGGAAGTTGTGGAAGCCAACAAGACAGCAAAAGTGACTTCATGATTTGTGGTTAACTTGTAACTCCTGTTGGTGCATTCAACTACTGTTTTCAACAATAAGGAAAAATTAATTTTCAAATTCTTTCTTATTACTAATTGACTTATCAGAAATTTCATATGAAAATAACACCTTCTATTGAATGTAAATCTTTTTATAAGTTTAATAAATCTATAAATTCTGAAGCAGTGATAGCTCCTTGAACTTTTAACTCTCTGAAAATTTCTAGTAACTTTCTGGGGTGCTTTGTTGCCACCCATGTGGGAATGTCTGTTTTGCAATCATCTCCTGACCTTTGGTGCCTGAACACCTGGGATTTTGGTCCTGTGGCTAAGGCCAGAGTTAATATTTATGTACATATTCAGGGGAGCTGGGGGGATGGACAAATGCAGAGGTTCTGGGGCTGGTCTATGTGGACACCCTCTCTCCTTCCAGGGATTGAGGCCACTGCTGCTGTGGTGGCTTCTGCTGTCACCACAACAAAGCCAGCCCTGAGGTACCCCGGGTGCTCTGGGGATGCTCTGGGCAGCCAGGCCAACCTTGGCCCTGTGTCCTTCGGCTTGAGTCTGTCTCCCCACATGTCCACTTTCTCTACATGTGTGTTCCATTGTCTCATTGTACTTCCCATACAAAATACCAGCAATGAGAAAATACTACTAAGAAGGTCAAAATAGTGACATCAGAGCATGACATCCAGCATTACTCCCTCCTGAGAAAGAGTCCATGTGTGACTGTGTGACTCCACTGTTCTCCACCCCTAACGCTGGCCTTGGCCAGAAGAAATGAAAACCTCTAAAGACTACCTTTTCAAATTAACACTGAGGACGCCATGCTGAGAAACCTCAATGACTTCCCCCATCATAGATAGGAAAGACTTTACTCTTTGAAAGTCTGTCAATAGGAAAAGGATGTCTCACACTCTTGCCTGGGACACTAAACCACTCTACCATAGACACCTGGCCTCCACTCCCTCCAGGATCCAGGGAGAGGTTTGGGGATGCAGCTTCCATGTTTCCTATAAAGAGCAGTATCTGAGTCTCCCTCCCCAGGCTTGATGGTTGCCACTTGACACACAGCCTTGCTCTGTTTAGAGATTATGAAAACCAGTTTTTTTGGGAATTCACCTCAACGCTTCTCCAAATCCTACAATGACCCCATCTCTGAATGTTAGTGGGATGGTCTATAGGTGCTTGTGTGTGGTCTTCCAGGTCAAAGCAATATAGTAACCCTGCTTTGAGGGACAACATTGTTCTGTGGGAGGAGGGGGTCTCAATCAAATGAGCTTTGTCACCAGGATGACCACAGCTACAAAGGAGTCACCTTAGATGAGACCAAGACAGAAGCCGCAGCTTCAGTCACAGGAGTTCCTTATAGGAACACGTGGTCACAGTCCATAACGATTGTGGGGTCACCAAATCTTTTGGGTATTCTTCTCCAAGTACACAGGATAAACACTTTACAGTGTTTTTCCATGTTTCAGATCAACCTTGCCTCCTTTTCTGGCAAGGCCTCCACCAATGCATTGAGACTTAAGCAAGACAGAAAGTACATGACAAAAGTGCTGTATGTAGTTCTCTGGGTTTGAAACAGGAGCAGAAAGGAAGTTAACACTCTTGTGTATGTAAATTTTTAAATAACAGTGTATTACTCTGATAATAACTAGAAACATATGGAAGGCCCTAAAACAATGGAGCCAACAGACCAAAGACTAAGGCCTCTAAAACTGTGATAAAAATAATCTTTTCCTCCTTCTAAGTTAATTCTCTCAGGTATTTCATCACAGTGACAGAAAGCTGTCTAATACATGCTTACCTCTTACTGTTCAAACTGAGATATACATAGCAAATATTAAAGAAAAATAAATATTACTTTAGACTGTGTGTACATAAGGTTTTTTTCTCATTCAGTTATTCCATATGCTTCCTTGGCCTGGTGTTATGGGATGCTGCTAGCTGAGATATGGGACATTGAGGCAGATTAGCAGGAAGCAATGCTTTATTGCCAGCACAGACTCAGCAGACTCCTGTCCAAGTCCTTATTGGAGGCAGGAATAAATAAGGGCAA